CTACTTATATATACTATATATATATATATATATATATATATATATATATATATATATATACACACACACACACACAGTTTGGTGTAAATAAAAACCTTTGCACATTAACATTAAAAACAACCTCTTGTTTCAAGAAAATTCTCAGATATAAAACAGAATTGTTTCAAATCTACTACATACAGCAGCTTTTTAATACACTTATCTTCTACAACTGGACAGGTTTTTAGCACTACAGTTTGTAAATGGAATGTTTAAAATTCATGAAAATACAGCAATTTTAATGAAAAAAAAGTTTACTGATAAGTAATCAAAACAAAAGTGTGCAAGGATTTATCTGACAATATACACTCAAAATTTTTATTTAATGTTTTATTGGTAGGTTTATCATATTGTAAGGAGTGAGAGAAATAAACGGATATATAATATACTGAACCACAAAGAGATGTATTATATGAATAAAAACATTTCCAAGCATTTTATATAACAAAGGAAGAAGCAAGTTAATGAATTCAATAATAAAATTCATGTTAAGTGCAATTATGATGTTCGCTGTTGGTGTATAAACACCATAAGTATAACTAAACGATTTAAAGCTGTTTAAAACAAACAGTAAACTCGCTCACTCATGGTTTATATTATGGCCTTATCCAATTATAGAACTTGAAATTAAAACTCTTCCATTGTTGTTGTTTTTATTAAACAGAAGTACTAAAAATCCAATTATATGGAAAATTAATCTTAGCTTCATGGTAAATGGAGAAAAAATAGCATTTAACAGGCAAACTGAGCTTTAAATAGTGCCTTGTTTTAAAGTAAGAAGAAATAGAAGCTTAATAAATTTCTAATTTTGAAGAAACCTAACAAATAAGCATCATAGGGTCAACATATAATCCAACATGTAAATCATCGAGACAAACCATTATCTTTTGTTAAATACAATAATAAACTGTAAAGAAAATAAAAGCTAACTTTACATGCAATCAAACTGTTCAATTCTGAAGTGACTAAGTAATTTTCCATTAATACATTTTTTACCTCACTATCATAACTAAAACTAATAAATCTCTACTTTAGAAACTGATTACTGAGCTATAATATTTTTTTTTTACTACACATATAACATTTTACATTGTTCAACACATTTTGAACAAATAAAATAATTTTGAAGAATTATTGCTCTTTTTCTTTTTTTTTCATCTCTTTTATTTGGATTTTTATAAATTTTCCCTCATGCTATAAAATAAAATAATTCATATGGAAATACCTAAAGCCTACTTGTATACATACATCATGCAATTACCATTTATGCCATTTACAGTAAAAAAGGTCAGCAGCTATCTGACAACACATAAATATTCCTTTTAACATTTAGTCAGACACTTTTATTAATTGATTTACAATAAAAGGAACTTAATATCTAACTTACTCCTCACTTCTTTACAAAAATATCCACAAACTTCACCACACATTGAAATTAGCCCTATTAATATTTGACTAATCAAAACTCTTCTTCCTATGAAACATCATACACCTCATTCATAATAAAAGTGACTATGCAAAAAGAAACACCTATTTCACTTCTTTTTCAATTGTGATTAAGTGCTAAAACAAATCTATGTAAAAGCTGCTTGCCTCAATTACCACAAGTGGTGCCATTCTTTTATAGATTTTATTAAGTATTATAGACATGAAATGTATAAATATAGTATTTATATTTAAACTGGATAAATATTTAATTATGTATGACGTTACATTCCAAGACTATTTGTATTTATAGCAAAGCTACTACGGTTATCTGCTGCCATCCCCAATTTTGAACTACTGACCAGAAGGAAGGCAGCTAGTTGGCAACACCCAACTACCCATCTTAAGGGACTGACCATCATTCTTATAATGCACCCACACCTTAAAGTGCAGTGAAAATTTGTGGTATAGCATATTTGAACCTGGCTCACCAGCTCTGAAATCCAAAGCTCTACCACAAGGCCAACCTATGGTCATCTAAGTCTGAGGGTTCAAAGTCTTGTAATAAGAGAAAGGAGAGGGACACACACAAAGAGCAGTCTGTATTAGATCTACATATAACTTGTTCTCTTAAATAAACATTACAATGAAATTAAATGTTCATTAAAACAATTTTAGATAGATAATTTTATGGGATTAAAAAAATTCACTGAAAAAAAACCCTAGCTTTAGCAATAGTAAAACACAATTATTGTCTTAGAAAATGTGTTTGTTACGGCTTTTACATTTTGCATACATTAATAAACTAAATGCATGAATTAGGTAAAGAGGACCTTATTTAATATTTCCAGAAGTAAATAAAAATCATTTCTGACATATTTTTACTGTGTGTAAAACACCTTCAAAATGCCTCAAATACAATATGCAATGGTCATATAATATCTATATAATCATACTACACTTAACAATTTCATGCTTACCAAATTCTCTCATGTATATACTTTATGCACAAAACATAGTCATACATATAATGCAAGTGACAATTAACCATACAGTGATGACAAACTGATAAACTCAAAATGAAGGACTTTAACTAAGAAGCCCTTGAAAGTATCACAAGAACTACTACGAGTTTAGAGACTATATTGGCAATCTTCAGATCTTAAGTTTGATACCAAACACAAAGTTAACTAAACTTTTGGTCTTGGGTCAAACTAAACTCTCATAATCAAGTCATAAAAATGAATTTTACTTACTGAACTCTTGCTTAGGTTTAAACTTTTTTTTTTCTTACACATTTGTAAACATTTACAAATTGTACAATTTAAACACTAGTTCTTTCAGGTTACTCTTTCGTGTTTCTTTCAGATTTAAATATAAAATCTCGATTAGGTCATATAATAGCAATTAAATGAACAATAATTACCCATGAAATCTTGATTAGACACTACCAAACTTTTATAGCAATTACAGTGGTTAAACTTCAAACATCGATTATGCTACTTTTTCATTATAGAAGTGAACTTTGGACTAATGATTTGGTTACCATTGATATTTACAAATGTCAGCCCACAAATAGTATGTCAAACAGTGAATCTTGTCTATAAACAGTATGCAATGACAATCACTTTTGGGTGGTATTCCCACCTATTAATTACTATAAAGACTAATCATGATAACCACAGTTCCTCATATCATTTGATTACCTTATCTTATGGTGTATTAATTTAAAGCTATTTAATTACAAATTATCAAGTGTTTAATATTAAAAGAATTTTCCAATGGCTCAAACTTTTAACACCAAATAATCACTGAAATTAACCACAAGATTCTTGATGGAGATATCTATTATTAATTATAGAAATTAATGATGGAGTCACGATCAGGTAACTGTCTCAATTTCATAGAACCATCAGCACCACATGAAAATAGTCGACCTGCAGAGTCAACATACACTTGAGAAACTCCCATACCAATGTTTCGGAAGAGTGTGCTTCGAGAGTGTTCTCCAAGGAAAGAGTAAAACAAGATGTGAACTGATAAACCCCACACCTAGTAGATACAAATGATCAAGATTATGTATAAGAACTATATCCTGGAAAATATGTAATAAACAAAAAATATAAATTGATGAATACATAAATATTTTACACTGAGAATTATTATAATTTTTTTCTATAAATTATAAATACCAGCATGATATATTTTGTTACTTTTCAAATCTTAATATTTTAGCTATTTGTTAATACAAACCAAAAAAATTACATTAGCATACCCATCTATAATAACATAATAGACTTTTCTACAAACTTCTTTTTATCTTTTACTCTGTTTCTGTATAATAATTCTTAAATTTAATATTGGCAACTTAGTTGAACTAAATTTCCTTCAGCTAGGAAACCAACTCATTCCCAGCTGCCTGAAAATAAAATACACACTATGTGAAAAAGGAATTTATTTTACCCTTACTTGAAATTTTAGAATAAAATACAAATAAATTAGATCCTTAATATAAAGAACAGAAAAAGTATGCCTAAAAATGAAATGAACAAGCCCCCTATGTCTGTTTAAAAATACGAATGACTAGTTGCTAAATGAAATTAAGTTCAAAAATGGCAAAATCAGAGTAACCAAATTTTGAGCAAACCTGATACCATGAAATTAGAAACTTGTCAAGGTTGGTTTGTTAAAATTAACTAAATAAAACCTGAAAAATTAGGCTGATTATTAGTTCATGATCTAATTTATTAGAACAGAAAAAAGATCTTTTTGAGGTACATATTAAAACTACAGGGGAATTTTTAAAACGTTCATGTTTTGTCATTTAATGAGGGTAAGAAAAGAATAAACTGGCAATTTTCTCTGCTTAAAGTTTGGTTCAAAATCAAATGTTAGATATATTTATACAACATAATGAAGTTATTAAATAAAGTAATACAATAAGTACAAAATTGGTATAAGCAGGTAAAATGAAGTGGTGGTGAACCAGCAAACAACAGTAGTAAAATAGAAAAATATACAAGAGGTCATGTAGAAAATTCAGTAATATTCAGATCAGACAGAAAATAGTCTCTTTGTTTTGTTAAGTTCTCGCACAAAGCTACTCAAGGGTTAGTTGTATTAGTCATTACTGCTTTTGAAATAATAAACAAGAGGGAAGGTAGCTAGGCAACACCACCCATTATCAATTCTTTACCAACTAACAGCAAGATTGAACATCACATTATACAGCCTCCACAGCCAAAAGGGTAAGCATATTCAGCAACAGGTTTTGATTTAGCAACTGGCAGATTATGAATCAAGTGCCTTAACCTGTAAAAAGTAGACATAGCAGATACACAAAAAAGATGTAATTCAACAATAACAAATTAGGTATAAAGAGAGTGGGAAGAGACAAAAAAGAAGAAAATGTGCATGATATGTAAAAAAATAAAATAGGTGTAAAGAAAAAAGGAAATAGGTGTGGACAGGTAAAGAATATGAATAGGAGAAGAATGAAAAATGTATGTATGAACACTTACAAAAAGTTTAGATATCGAAAACTTGCCAATAACAGATTAAGGGTGTTCTCACCAACACTAAAATAAGAAGAATGTGAACTTTTAAATGCAGATGGGAATGAACAGCAACTAGTATATAACTTTTACATTCTGTATTGGTCTTAAAGGACTGTTATCCAAAATTCAAAGTTCTGGAAATATGTTAAATCATGGAGATAGTTTCTAGAGGTCTGGTATAAACAGCAAGACAAGGCATAAAATAGACCAATTTTTAGAATAGCCAAATAACCAACAGCTTTTAACTAATGCAACTAGCTTTGAGTTTGTCCAAAAAGAAAAATACTCTAGGTGAGAACATTAACTATTTTTAAAAACTTTTATAGCTAGAAATTAGAAAGAAAGAAATGGTTTAAACATTACAACTGCCCAGAACTTGATTAAAAACATACTTATAAAAGACTCCACACAAAAGGAATATGTAAGGATTTCTATATGGCTGTTTCTTGTTGACTTTTCTTTAATAAAATTACAAAATATTACAATTATTTATAAACTATCAAAAACAGTTAAATTGGATAGGTGTATTACAATTGACAATGAAAACAGTCTCTGACACTGAACACTGCCATGAATGAAGAATAAAATCTAATGCCAAAAGGTAAATAATTCCTTTGACAGCATTTATCAAAGTGAATATCTAAATATGACCTTGAAATATGTGTGAAATTATTACGGTTAGAATTAAAAAACAATTATTACCTTTATATCACCATCAGCTGATCCGGTGACAAAATATTCTTCTCCTGGATCCAAAGCTAAACATTTAATAGGAGAGTCGTGAGCTTGAAACCTGTGACGGAGTTGTCGTTGTCGTACATCAAATATACCTTCTTCGGTATAGGAAAATTTTCTTCAGTTTAAAATTAAAATTTAAAATGTTTTTAAAAATATTTTTTTACTAAGTACTTTTTAATAAGCTTAAATTGTTCATTTTTTAATCATCCAAATAAAATAAACAGGAAATTAGTGATGGTAATCTAATGCCAATACATTTATTACCTTAAACCTTTATCATAAAATATTTTACTATAATACCAGTGTTAATTTAAAAAAAGCAGTTCCCTAAACTACAGTTTCTTATATTAGGAATTTTGGAATATGAAAAAAAAATAAGGGTTAATTTTCAGCAAAAAACAAAATCCATAGTGGATACAGATGTCACCCTTCTTCCCAGCACTGATCAACACTTGCTGTTGAGGAGCATAAACAACAGCAGAACTACCTTGCTCGTGACAAATAAATGCTGAAAATATTAACAAAACAGAAATTTAAGATTATTATATGTTATTTTTATAAACTTTTAAAACACTATATACAAAAACTCTTAATAAGTTGTGTAAAAAAATTCACGTGTTGTGAAAGATAAATAGTATAGCATGTTTCTAAAAACACTTACTATTAATACTTTTTCATCATTTTGAATAAAACGATAGTCAGCTAATTACTGTTCGTAATATTACAAATATTTCCAAATGATTAATTTAATAATATTATTCAGATAATCTTAGTAACCACAAGTAAAGGGATATTCTTAAAACTTTCTTTGCTTTACTAGTACAGAAAAAGATTTGTTTGTGATCTATGACATGAAGATGATTTTCTAAAACAATGACCACATTATTATATTCTTATTTTTTACAATAATTAAGTAAATACAGGAAAGAGTCTGTTATAGTTTTAAAATATTTATAGTTTTCTATGAAAACTACTAAAATGAAATTTGAGCTACAAAATATGTTTCATAAAAGGTACATCTTCCAACATGTATTTGGTTTTTTTACATGTTGAGATGTGAACTTTTCAGTTTGAAATATAAATATCACTTTGTGTGAGACAATTTAAGTCATTAACATGTTACTGATTAATCCTTTGGTTGCATTGAAACTATTTATCAAAAGTTGATCCAATTTGAACAAAGTTTCATAAACTGAATGAATGTGATTGTCAATAAGTGTTGAGAGGCTATAAATATCCTTACCTAAGTAAAAAACAAAATTTAAGAATAACTATATAAAAAAATGTAGTAGAGATGTAGAACACCAACCAGACACCATGGCCTTCCTTTGAGGTAGTAACGTATCCCACAGACATATATTCTTGTTTTCTGCTGAGTGACCAGCTGTGGCAATTAAGCTGGAAGAACTGACAAAAGCAAAGTCACTGACTTGCTTGCTATGACACTGAGCACTCTAAGAAAATAGAAAAAAAATATATGTCTCACAGTGTGTCTGTGTTTGACTAGAAATGTGTACAAGTTTATACTAGGAAAGTAATGTACTTAATATTGAACAAAAATAGCATAAACATAAGACAAAATTTTCTCTGGACTGGACTTTTCACATGAACAAAAAACAATAAAGATAGTTACTTACAAAAAAAGGTTTAGCTGTGACATTGCTTAATCCCACTTGCCAGAGACTCAAATTTCCATCTCCATCTGTGACTCCAAACTGTAAATATCCAAATTTCAGAATAATGGGCACCATGCACATAATTATTTAATGTTTACTTGTGTGACCAATTTATTATTATATATTTGTTTTAATATTAACGTTTGTTTAGATAAGTTTATATTTACAAACATGCATAGCTTATACTGTTAAATATGTATTGAGAAACTCCCACCTGTTCTCTAAAGTTGTAGAAGATTCTTGATTGTAAGAATCAACAATGTATGTATGTATGTATGTAAATGCTTAATGTAGCTCTGTATTGTTACGTAATCTGAATTTTCTAGAAACTCTACACACGCCTATAAATATAACTAATGCAACATGCCAAAAAGGCAGTATCTATTATTAGTTTGCTATAGTCAGTGTGCTATAAAATTTGGAAGCTATAACTGTGATTATTATAATGCTTATTAATCAGAAAACTTAAGATATTTGACCAGGAGCATTTACAAAGTTCGAACATTACAAATCATTTAAGTTCAGAGGAGTCTCATCGGACATTAGTACTTTGACAAAAACATTATATAACTTCATAGTGGAAAACTCGGAGTGTGTGGCTGGTGAATAATGAAGGACAAAGCTAACTAGCTCCCCGTTAAGCAAATTGTACCTTCGTCAACTTGTAATTAACTCACTCATCGTGAACCCTTGATAAGATATCAAAGAAGTTCCAGACTAGAAATAAGACTTTATTTTGCTTGTGAGTTTGTAAAATATTTGTATATAAATCATTGTGTGTAATAACTATTGATAATAACTGTTTTTGTAAATTGTATTGCTGTTTGTAAATTAAAACATATTTGTGTTAAAAAAGAAAACTGTTTGTATCATACTTGTTGGCAAATATCATAAACAGACTATATATCGGCTTTTATTTAACTACTAAATTTAAAGTATCAGTTAACTCAGTTTCAGACCATTCGAAAGTGTAATACATAACATAGTACTTGAAACACATCAAGATACTATTTGACTTTAACAGAATGTTGCAGACACATCCTGCTTATATAACTCTTTCTAAACTGATAAAAGGTGTTACCAATATCCCTTGATTTTTTCCCTTCTTACAATGAAAATACTGAACCAAACTGCATAAAACTTAGATTAAACTTTCAAAATAGTATCTAGAACTTCATATAATTTAGTTTAGTTTTCTATAACTCTTATATTGTGAAATTTCCAAAATTTTGTTGTAACTTTTTCAGAAGAACAATAAAAATATTCCCTCTTGTCTCCAAATTTTAATTTTTTTAATGTTGATTAGAGTTCCATCTTTTTATACCTAGTGAATTTCAACTTGATTGATCTTCATTATGATAATTATTTTTATATTTTATTTTGCTAATTGCAACATTCACCACTTTCGGCTATACAGCATAAAAAAGATTTATCAATGATCTTTCAAGTGATAAATCAGGCTAGGTTTCAATATTTATACTAACTATTTATGACCAAGATCAATTCATATATATATATATATATATATATATTCAATAAAGTTAGACTTCAATAAAAAGCAAATTCTTTAATTTATGAGCATTGTTTGAATATAATAAGTTTAAAAATAATACTCAAAAATAAGGATCTGACAAGAATATTTTTTTTATCACCTACCGTACTTGCTAAACCTAATTAAGCTTACCTAATATCAGAGAAACAGATTTCTGTCGCTTTCAAACAAATATAATTTAATACAAAAGCATTTTAAGGAACGAAAGTACATCTATCAAAAATATAAAAAGTGCCCAGATTTGTGACTTGTTTTTAAAGCCTTCTAAACTTCATATTAAATTTCACTGTTCTTCCTTACAGGAGCCTGAGTATTGTCACTTTCCAACAAAAACACACATTTTTTCTCATACTACTTGATTCATTCTACATGACCTTAATAGTTTATAATGTACTCTGTATTCATTGGTATTTAAACTTTGCCTGTAGCTATTTTCAGAGCAGATCTTCATTACTAGTTGTTGAACACATGTTGTGACATTATAAAACAGCAGACTGTACCAATAAAATCAGTGAAACAAGAGTCATATGAAAAACAAAATACAGATAATTATGTTCTCAAGGAAGTTGTACAGAAATTTAAGTATGAAATTTGTTTTAAATTTTTTCTTTGCAAATTACACTAAATAACTGTTAACAAATAGCAAAATATCAATTCTAAAATAATTTTTAGGGTAAAAATTGTTAAAAGAGGATTAGAATTATTATTCTTAAATTTTGAAACTTGTTATAGAGGTGTACACTCGATTCCTGGAAGATATTCACTGATCATGATAGTGTTAAAAGTGTACTTAATTTTCACTAGTATATCCAGACACGTTTTACTAAGAAAGAATCCATATCTTGTCGCATAACAGTTTATCACTTGATTTCCAATTAAATATACACTGAGTGGTCACAGGTAAATAGACACCTAATTTTTCATCATTTAACTGATTTATGCTAACTAATTTGTGTTCAC